AGGAAATGAAGGCTGAGTGGTGGCTGTGTCATAGTCCCAGGGCCACTTACCCCCCCCCCACCTGTCCTCTGTGACTACCTGGTGCAGCTGTGAGGAACTACTGGCAGAGCTGGGCCCTACATTTCCTTGCCCCCCCTCCCTCTGTTAGAGTGTAGGATCTCCACCCCTGGTCCTTCCTCCTCTCAGGCCTGTTCTTGGTCCTTTCTTCAGGAACTTCCAGGTGGGTTGCCAGAACTGTGTGGGGGTTAAATGACTTGCCCAAAGTCATGCAGATTGGGGCCAGGTGCCAAAGTCCATTAGTATTCCTATAGTCATAGTCATTCTTCTTCTTTTTGCATAGAAAGTTTATATTCCGAAGAAATGTCAACATCTCCAAGGGTTCTTCCAAGGGGAGGACTACACATTAGCATTGCCCTCCTGTGGTGTGTTCCGGGGAAATACGGTCTGTGGTGTCCAGTGTCTAAGCGCTGGTGAGCATTATGAAATAAAGTACAGGGTGTTCTATTAGTGAGGTACTTGTTAATCATAATTAACTGACATTAATTAATGATGCATATTCATATGTATCTGGGGGATATGACTCTTCAGGGATGCCAGGGAAGATGCAGAGGGATTGTCTTGGGTCTAAAAATGGTAGGACTAACTAGAGGAGGTGGGCAGGGCAGGTGGGCTGGGGAGGGACAGCATGTACAAAAGGAGTGGTTTATCCAGCGTGCTGTTGGGGAGGAACAAGCTGGGAGCCCGATGTGTGTTGTGGCTCGATGATGGTTGTCTAGATTTGGGTGGTGGCTACAGACAGAGTTGCACGGATTCAGTGGATGAGTCAATGAGATTCATTCAGGGTATAGGTTGACTTCTGGGAACATGATTGGTGGGATCACCACTCAGTGGGGTCCCTCCCCAGGCTGAGGTGACCTCTGTCCACCCTGTCCAACTGGAGAAGCCCACCCAGGTGAGGGCATCCCCATCTGCTCTCATACCTGAAGCCTTTGCCCACATACCTGGGCTTCTCCTATGACCTTCTCTCCTAGTAAAGGGGTGGTGTTTCCTTGAGTCATGACCTTCTGTCTGTCTTGAAGAAGAAAACCTGGAGTTGCACTCTCCTACCCCAGGCCAGGTCTGTGCTCGGGCTCTGCCACCTGCTTGCCTCAACCTGCCTGCTTGGGCCCCTTTCTTCTGCGACAGTGGGGATGATCACTTAGCATGCGTCTGTGGGAAGCTTCACCGCTCGCCCACCCCAGGTGAGTGCTGTTAGCATTTGCCATGCTGCAAGGCAGTTTACAGTAAGGCCATATCTGACTTTAGAGCATAACACCAATCCTTTCGGTCGCAGACCCACTTGGTAAACTGAATGGTGAACCCAGGTCAGAACCCTTAGTCACTGAGAGGCTTTAATGCCCTTTAATTTCTAATTATTTATTTGCTCCATGGGGAGGAGCTGGTAATACAGGGTCAGGGATATAGCAATGCAGATGGGACTTGCCTCCAGAACAGCAATGATTAAATTGGCCGGATTTGCATAATATTTTGTTATTTTAAAAAACCCTGCATTACAAGTCCTGGAAAGAGCTGATGTACTATCCCTGATTGGTTCAGGAAGGAATAATTAAATCCAGTGACCCTGGTTATTAAATGGAAATGGGGACATCAAATAGGGCTTAATCGGGCCACTAATTTTTTAATCATCACTTCTTTTTTTCCTCTTACTAAAAACGTAATAAACATTCATTGTGGAAATGAAGAAAGCACAGATAAGGAATAATGGAAAATTTAAATCATCTGCAGTTCTATTCCTGAGAGGGACCACTGAGTTTTAAGGTTCCTATCTATACATCCCAATTTTAACAGCCATGCACTTGTATTCATATTTTTCAGAAGAAAATGGTTCATAGAGTATAAATGTTTTATAAGCTGCCTTGCTTAATAGTAAAAACATAAGCAGTTTCTGGATCACTACACATTCTTTGGTCTGGTTAAGAAGGTGGGATCATATTCTAATGTTCAGTGTTTTCATGCACTGCTCACCTGCCCTCAGGGCTGGGCATTTAGGTTATTTCCAGTGTTTTGGGGGGCAGTGACATTTGTTGCTGCTTTCATTATCCAGGTGAGGGCACAGCCTCAGAGAACTTCTCTGACAAACCGGGCCACACACTATTCTGGTAGCACGAGGAGTGCAGCCTCGTGTCCTGGGTTCCAAGACCAGGGCTCATCAAACACGGCAGCTGTCAGGGCCATGGCCAGAGCACACACTGCCTCGCAGGGCATCGGGGCATGTGGCCAGGCAGGATCTGGGCCAAGCTCTCAGTAGGAGTGAGGGCCACCGGATACTGGAGGGAGCTTCGCACTCGTGTGACATCTGCTGTGGGGAGTGAGCTTTGTTGGGTGCTGCTGTGGCCAACGAATCCTCAGCATGGCCCTGGGGCAGGGGCGTTACACCCCTACATTATAGGTGAGCAACTTGAGATGTGGACAGGTCAGATACTACAGCTCCCTACTTTGATTCTGACTTTTACACAACCCCATGAAGGGGGCCCCCATTGAACAGAAGGGGAAACTGAGGTCAAAGAGAAGACTACTCCAAAGTGCTAGCCTCGCAGTCCACATTCAGAAGATGCCTGACCCTTCCTGTGGGCTGTCAGGCTCAGACTCAGCCTCCTGCCCCAGCTCCACTCTGTGCCTAAAAAGATGCCCCCTTGCGGGTGGAGGCTCTAGCTTCTGCGCAGACTTTGGTTCATGTTCTCCCCCCATCCCTGGTATTCTGGGAGAATTCGTATCCACTGAATGATCTGTAGTGCGCCCAGGCCCTTCCTGATCCCCCGAACTTCAGTACCTACTGTTCCTAGCCGCTGTCTCAGGCCCTTCCTGCCAGCTGCCACATAGACGTCAGTCCCTTTGCGACAGTTCTTCCTGTCCTAAAGGAATGCCATCTGCTGGCACCCTCCCCAGCCTGCCACTTCTCCCAGGCTTCATGCCCCCCTCCCAAGCTTTGGTCCTCCCTGTCAGCACAAAGCCAGCCACACAGGCCTCTGTGGGTCCCCTCACGCGGAGAAACTGGAAAGCAGATGTGCGTCTGCTGGTGGCTGACTTTCTCACTTAGGAGACTGTCCTCACGTGTACACCTCCCCCGAGGGTCTCCAGGTATCTCAGTCACCTGCACTTACCTGGGCCTCATCATGGTCTCCTTGCTACCCCTCCTCAGCCATCCAGCTGCTCAAACGGAAACCCAAGGCTCAGCCTGGCCCTCTCCCCTACACCCCACACCCTTCCACCAAATGGCTCCTCAGACCCCAGAGGTTTCTTGGAGTTTTCCATCTCTAGCCTTGTAAATCCTCATCACCTCTTACAGGTGCCCCAGCCTCCCCACCTTTGGCTCCCACCCTCGGGCCCTGCAATCCCCTCCCGACAGCAGCAGCTAGAACAGAGTCAGCTCAGGTGCTACCCAGTGCCAGACACTCACTGCTCCTGGGGCCCCTCTGAGATCACTCTGCTCATGGGTCCCCTCCCTCCACCCTCCCATCCTCTGGGGTGTGTCAGCCCTTTGAAAGACTGGGCTCTGCCTCTGCTGGCAATGCCACCCCAGTGTGGTCAGGGCCAACCTCTGTCCCTCTTTCCGAGAGCAGCTTAAATGTCATCTCCCCAGAGCCGCTCCTGAAGCTGGCTGGCTTGGGCCCCAGCTCCCACATGTTCCCTCCTACCTCGTTCCCTCTTTACCTCTTAGGCTGAGCAGCCAGAAGGTGTCTTACTGTTTACAATGTGCTGTCTGTCCTACCCGCTCCCTGGATTCTGGTTTACATGTTACATGTACTGGTGCCTGGCAAGAGCACACAGGCCTCCAAACACACTGAACCATCCTCCTGCATGACTTGGCCCTGGTCAGTCTGCATGGTGTGACCACATCCTCCCCACCCTGTGTTTTGGGATGGCCTGGGGCCCTCACTGTAGCCAGCTGAACTCACAGGGATGCTCCAAGCCAAGGTCAACCTCTACCCCAGCAGGGGAATCCCCTTAATAGTTTGTATTTGTCTGTCTATTTAAGAAAAAAAAAAAAATCCAAGATCTGGAGAAAAGTGTCCTTTTGGGAATTCTCTAACCTTCTGAGTTGGTGAGGTGGCTGGTAGCCAGAACGATACTTCTAGAGGTCTCTACACCCTGATGGTGAAAGCTGCCTCTGATGAGAAGGGTGCTTCCTAGGACCAGCAGTTAGTGTAATGGCTATGCTGCTAGACTCCCACGTAGTTGACCACGGTTCGAGTCCCAGACCCAGTGGCTTAAGCTCATGGCGGGTGCGTGCGCATGCGTGCCCAAGATCCGAGAGGAGAGTGGAGGAGAAGGGATTGTTGTGTGGCCATCCCCTCTGGGGGGTGATTTCTTGCTTTCTATCTCTCTGTCTCTCTCTGTCTTTCTGGCGAGCACATGCACCCTATAGCAAAAATAAATAAATAAAAATTTTTTAAAAACTCTCAAAAAAAAAAAAAGAAAGGTGCTTCCTGCCCAAGAGCCTTCGAGGTCTCCTCAAGGTAACTGCAAATTCCAGAAACTTCTACTGGAGTGCTCACTCCCAGTTCTCCTCAGGCAAACCATGGTGTGCATGTGTGGGGGGAAGGGGCAGAGGGGCAGAGCTCTCATGGATGTGTGGATGAGTGTGTGGAAGTGAGTATATAAGTGTGGCTGGGTGTAGGTGTATACGGGTGTGTGGGGGGGAGGAGTGGGGCATTGCTGGGGCTAAACAGGCCTGGCCATCTTCTCTGGAAGCTAGAACCTTTTGTCTATGAATCAGACCATGCGGGAGAGTCTGCCTCCAGCTCTAATTGCTGAGTATCAATGAGGGTGGGAATGTCTTTACAGAAAATCTCAAACTTCCCATGCAGAACGGGGGACTGCTGGCCACTCCCAAGGAACCCAGCCTGGCCTATGGCGTAGAGCTGCCCCCTCGTTCACCTGGGAGAACAGGGGTCTAAGGGCAGCGAATGAGCCTGCTTCTCTTTCCTTCCTTCCTGCAGCCATGAAGTCTGGGGGCACGCAGCTCAAGCTCATCATGACGTTCCAGAATTACGGGCAAGCGCTGTTCAAGCCCATGAAGTAAGTGCCTGCGGCCTGTTGGGATTGGGCAGGGACGTGCTGGAGCCGGACATGTGCGGGTACCAAATTTCTGTTGGAAAGGGCAATGTTTCCTCCCAGAATGTTCGGGGTGAGCTGTGGGCAGCTACTCTTGACTCCCCTTATCATGGCAAAAGGGGCAACAAAGACAACCTTCACCTCCTTCCCTCTCCTCCCCCAGGCTTCCCCACCTCACTCCTTATACGAGTGAAACCGACTCGCGGGTCATCCTTATCCCTGTGAGAATAAGTATCTGTATTTGACTCAGGGAAGCTGGAATACGACTTTTACATCTTTCCACCATGCTCAGGAGCCCACGGCCTTTCCCCTAAAGGGTCAGGCAGGAGCTACTTGGGACTTCGTAGGGTGTGTGGTCTCTTCTCAGCTACTTGGTCTGCTGTCCTGCTCAATGCAGCCAGACATGATGTCTAAGTGGAGGGGGAACTGTGTTTCAATAAAACTTTACTTATAAAACTTGATGGTCACCTGAGATGACCGTCTGATTATACTTTGCCCTGTTCTAGATGAAATAAAAACCGTGTCACCAACGTCGATCTAGAAACCCTCTGTAGCACATGAGCATTTGTGGGGATGACAGAAGACAAGTTTTGGGGAGCTAGACCACCCAGGGGATTCCAATAGATGTTCATGGTCTGCAGTGTCCTCTCTGATCGTCATGAGACTTGGGTACCCGGGTGGTCATCTTCTGTTAGTCCCAAACAGGTCATCTTTGCACTGGCAAGAAAGATTTTCTTGTGCTTAAAGCACAGGTGGAAAACCAAAAGGGTCATGCAAGGAGGATCTAGGAGGCTATGGGCCAGGCAGGGACGGCAGCCAGCTGAGCCTGTGGGTCCCACCAGGAGCGGCCAGCTGTCTGCTAGTTCATTGGATCTTACCCATCTGGCCTGACTTCTAGTTTTCAAGATAAAATAGAGGGCCAGCCCCATAACTTTGTGGTCAAGAGAATTGGATCCTACAATGTCACCCACAGTCTCAATCTCAGCCCTGCAGCTTAAAAAACATGCAGGGCACATGTGCATGCATGCCCCAAATCCTGACAGGATGAAGAAATGGAGGAGAAGGGATTGTGGTGTAACCAGATTCCCCTGGAGGGGAATCTCTGTCTTTCTCTCTCTGTCTTTCTCTCTGGTGAGCACTTGTGCCCTCTGGCAATTAAAAAAAATTTTTTTAAAGAGATACGCTAGAAATATGGGAATATGGGTTTATTCCCCCACCCCTTAGTTTTAATGTTTACATTTTTAAAATGGTGGTAACTAATTCAGAAGCATTTAAAATATTTACCAGGTCAAATAATATATAGCTACTAGTTTGCAACTGTAGCTCAAGGCCTATTTTTGTAGTCAGGCTGTTTCTGGGCCTCTCATTTCTCTGCACAGATATCCTGAATAGGAAGGTACCCTGCCCTGGGCTTCCCAGAGAACGCACTGGACTGGCCCCAAATCCAGGCTGCTTGGGGCAGGTGGGACAAGACTGTCTGGAGGGCATTGCCCACCCTCCCAGAAAGAAAGCCAGGAGGAAGATGGCAGATGTGGGGCAGGGGGGCTTGAGATTACAGACCCTTCTCCCTATTCTGTGCATAGAAATGCAGTTCCTTATCTCCTTCCGAGTGTCCTGAGACAGGAGCTGCAGTGGGCTTGGCCTCAGAGAAAGACACTGGACACCGCCCTTTTATAACTGTGAGGCGTGGGGATAGCCAGCCCAGTTCACTACCCCCAAGAGGCAAGAGGGCCTACAGCTGGAGGGAGGGCAGCCAGCAGCTGGTGTGGGTTCCTTACAGAATGTTCTGGAGGGGTCTGTGGCCTAGAGAGGGATACTCCACCTCCTTGAGCTTCTTTACTCCTTCACTGGGGGAGGCAGGCAGGTGACAAATGGGTCTGGACAGGCGCCTGCTGGCCAGGCTCTTTCACTGGCAATTACAGGAATCTGGGGACAATAGCTGAAAATGACAATGTCTTCATCTCCCCTTCAACTGTACTTCAAGGGCACTGGCTCAGGCTTTGAGACAGATTTATGTTTCTCAGCTGGTGAATGCATTTTCCAAAGTCTAGCAGAATATTCCTAGGTATAGTCAGACCCAGAAGGAGTGGTCCTTGTCACCCCCTAGTTACAAGAAATTAAGTCATGGGGACCCAGGGAGGCCTATCCAGGAGCGAGCAGAGCGTGGTCTGGATTCCAGTTCTCGCCCTATTCCCATTTGCTCTCCTGTGTGACTCCTGAGGCTCTGGACTTAAAAAGTGTCCAGCCTGGTCGGTAACAACAGCCACGACAATGGCATTCTGAACTGCTACCCTGCTCGGGCACTTCGGTCCCTAGTGTTTCTTGGTCACCTACTAGCCCTGGGCCAGGCTCAGTGCTGAGGTTTTATACCTATAAGCCTTTATGTTGATTTCATTCTCACCATGACTCGAGTTGGAGGAGGTGTAGTGTACTGCCACATAAAGATGAGGGAACTGGGGCCTCGAGGAGGAGGGCAGATGGCCTAAGCGGAACCCAAGCGTCCAGAACCCTGATTCAGGGTGTCCTGCCTTTCCCCCGACAGCACTCTGGTCACGTGAGGGGCTGAGGCCAGAGGCCAGGTGGCCTGCCCATGATGGTAAGAGGTGGGACTGGGTGCCAGAGCTCCCTGAAACTTCCCACAGCTCCCTGCCCCCTGGAACACTGAGCCCCCAGCCTGTTTGTGGGAATCCCGCCTCTCCAGATTGGCTGAAGGTCGAGGCCATGAATGGACAGTTTAGGACTAGGCTGTGCCTGGGTGTGGCAAAGGCTGGTGTGAAGAGTGGGTTTATTGAGGCAGGATTAAGAGGGTAGATATGAAAACAGAGTTGAGAATCCTGCAGTGGTTGAAAAATTGAGGCCTGGGAGGAGAAAGAACACACTCAATTTGGGTCGAAGCAAAGCCTGGTGGGAGGTGGGGGCAGAGGTGGGAACCTACACCACCGGCAGGCACAGTTTTCAGCCTACTGACACCATCCCTCTGGGCTTGGTCCTCTTGATGTCCTCCCAAGGTCAGGTCCAGCCATTTCTTGGCACTCAGGCCCCTTCTCCACCATGCCCCAAGTCTGCCATCGATTGTGGTTCCATTGCCAGCAGCCGTTCACTCCTCTGCTGACCTCAGGGGTGTGCCAGGGCCGGGTGTGGGGAGGAGGGTACCTTGGTCCCTAGTGGCTGCGATATGAATACAGAAACAGCTGTGGTTCATGACCACAGCTTTAAGAAATTAAAATCCATGATTAATAGGTCTCTTGAAGAAAGGACTGTCTTCTATGAGCTCACAATAGCTTTGTAAATTCTCATTATGATATTATGAATTAATTAGATAAACACAGCGTGTTGCTTCCGAGATCGTCAAGGATGTAAGTTGAGAGGCTTGAGCTGGGCCAACGCTGGCCAGGTGGGGGCAGGGCCTGGGAAGGCTCTTAAAGTGTAACATACATGGTATGAGGGTCATCTTTAACAGTTTTAGTGCTTAGATATTTTAAAAATTATTTATTTGATTTTATTTGCCATTATTATTATTATTTTTAAGTTTGCTCTATGACATGTACACTCACCAGAGAGAAACACAGAGGGAGAGAAAAAGTGAGAAACCAAGTCGCCAGGTCTGGGACTCGAACTGTGTGGTTTGTACTTAAGGTCCAAGCACCTTAAGCACCATGCCACCTGATGGCCCCAGTGTTTAGATATTTTTAATAGTCATTGAAAACCACATATAACTAGCACATTAGTCCACAAGCTCCTGGATATTATTGCTTTAGGATTAGATTATAATAATCAAGTAGTTTTTAAAAACAACTTTATTAAGATATAATTCACATACCACTTCGTTCATCAACTTAAAGCCTATAATTCAATATTTTTTATGAACTTTTAGAAATTTTCTATCCTTTTCCTCCTTTATCCATAACAGAGTGTGTGCCCACTCATGAGAGAGAAAGAGATGAATACCCCCCACAGGGTCTGGTCACTCCCTTTCCTCCAGTCCTCCAGCCCATGGGATCTTAGGCATGAGCATGTGCCTGGTGTGTTTCAGGCTGACTATGGCGGGGATTCGAACCGGTGGCTGCTATGTGGGATCTAGCAGTGCATTACCACCCTGCCACAGAGCTGGCCCAGTCATTTGTAGTACAAAGTTGTATATATATCACAACAGCCCATTTTAGTCCATTTTCCATTACTTCAAAAAGATACCCCATACAATTTTGCTGGTATTCCTCTATCTCACCTTGTCCCTTCTTTAGCCCCAGACAACCTCTAATCTGCTTTCCATTTCTTTGAATTTACTTATTCTGCATGTTCATGTAAATGGCATCATTTAATATGTAGTCCTTGGAGACAGGCTTATTTCACTTAACATCATGTTTTCAGGGTTCATCCATGTGATAGCGTGGATCAGTAATTCATTTCTTTTCATTGTTGAGTAATAGCCCAATGTATGTGTATGCTCTATTTTGTTTATCATTCATCTGTGGATGGGTGTTTGGGTTATTTCTACTTTTTAACTATTATGAATAATGCTGCTTTGAACATTCATGTGTGCATTTTGTGTGGATATGTTGTCTGTTCTCTCCGTTTTTTAATTTTAATTAATTATTTATTTGTTTATTTTTGGAGAGGTTTTTGCTATAGGGCACGTACACTCACCAGAAAGAGCGAGACAGAGAGACAGAAAGCGAGAAATCATACCCCAGGGGGGTGGCCATGCCGCAATCCCTTCTCCTCCATTCTCCTCTTGGGATATTGAGCATGCACGCACATGCACCTGGTGTGAGTTTAAGCCGCCGGGTCCAGGACTCGAATTGCGGTCGACTACATGGGAGTCTAGCAACATAGCCATTACGCTAACCGCTAGCCCCTTCTCTCCATTTTTCACCTAGATGGGGCCGCTGCATCTTACGGTAACTGTGTTTAACTGTTGGAGAAACTGATATTCTGCTCTCCACAGCAGCTGCGCCATTTTGTGA